GCCCCGCCCCGCCCCGCCCCGCCCCGCCCCGCCCCCTCTCCCGGAAGCGCGCGGTGGGGGGCGAACCGGAAGTGACGCGCTTTCTGCGCGCCGCCCAGCTCGTATTTTTTGCGCGCTGCGCGCCGCTCGAGACTTGCGGGCGTTCCGGCATCTCCTCTGACCCGGCGCGATGGGCAAGAAGGGCAAGAAAGAGAAGGGCCGCGGGGCGGAGAAGACGGCCGCCAAGATGGAGAAGAAGATGTCCAAGCGCTCGCGGAAGGAGGAGGTGAGCGGGGCCGGGAGGCGGGCTGGCCTCCTTCGTCCCGGGTCTCGTGCGTAGCCGGGCCCCCTGTGCTGGGCGCTGGGAGGGGCCGGGCTGAGCGGGCGCGCCTCTGCAAGCCTCAGCCCTCGGCTTTAAAAGAGGGTACGTGATCCTCGCGGCAGCCCTGAGCAGTGAGCGTCAGTGGAATAAGTGGCACTGTGGGACGTTCCAAAACAGTTCTCTGTGTCTCTCTCCGTCTCTGTCTCTCCTCCCTCCCTCCCCCTTTTACTCTCCCGCTCTCTTTCTCTCTGTCTTTAGAAGTGTCTACAAATGGATCAGTGCTGAGCTTAGAGGAGAGCTCTCTGCTCTTAATTGACTGTTCACGGGCTCCCTAACCCGGGGCGGTTTATAGTGGTTAATGAGTGTTTGCTGCGTGCCAGGCATTGTGCTCTCTGGGCTTCAGTTCTTACAACCAATTGAGTTAGGTAGCTTTGGCGTCCCCATCTGACAGGAAATCAGAAGCTAACAGGTTACGCGCAGCTCAGGGTCACACAGCTGTGAGGTGGCTTGGAGCTGGCATTTGACCGGGTGTCCCTGATCCAGAGCTCTGGACCACATACCCTTGTCCCTTTTCTTCCCAAGGCATTCGTGTCTCCATTTCCTCATCTGTCAAATAACGGGGTTGAGCCTTTTCTCTCCCCGTCTCCTATCATTTTTTTGGCAGGGGAACTAAGCGGGTGGTCTTGGGGGGACAACTTGGAGTTCTGCCCAGTGCAGAACTCACGTGTCAGCTACCTGGTTGACACCTTCAAGTGGCTGTCGCGCAGATTCCTCCCCTTCTACACTGTCCTGTTGAAGCCCCATCTCTTCCCCCTGCTGGGGAGACCTGCATCACCTGGGCGCACTCCCGTCCAGCCACGCAGCTCTGTGCTGTGTCTCAGACATGCCGCCTCCTTTCTGCACCTCAGCCCCAAACACATTCTTCTGCACTGGCTCCTTTTCATCTTTCAGCTTGTTGTCCCCCTGGAGACGCTTTCCCAGACTAGGCTGCCTGCGCTGCCAGACCTGCCCTGTCCCAGCCCCTCGGCCCCGTGATGGTGATGCTCAGCCGCTTGAGAAGTGCTGCCTTAGAGTGGTAGGAGGGAAGCTTACCTGGCTCCTGGACCTTGTTTTAATCTGGTGAGATTTGTTCAACGTGCGGGCATGGGGAGCGGCTACTAGATTCACTGGCAAGATGTGGAGGAGGTGGGGGTTGAAGCGAGTCACCCAACAGTCACCGCACCAAAGTTGCGTCCTCTTGCCTGCACGCAGCAAAGCCAACCTACAGACCCTGGGTTGTGGTGAGGGAAACTGTGGGGTTTATTGCAGGTGCCCAGTAAGGAGTCCAGGCGGCTGGTGCTCAGAAGACCCGACCTCCCTGAAGGCTTTCAGGGAAGGTTTTTAAAGACAGGATCAGGGAGGGGGTGCTGTGGGCTGTGTGATCAGCTTGTGGACATACTTGTTGTTGCTTGGTGGTGAGGTCATCGGGAGTCAACATCATTAACCTGTTTCCAGCCCGTCTGGACTCTGCATTCCCGTGGCGGCACGCAGTTAGCTTCCTCCACCTGGTGAGGGTTTCCGTATCTGCGAAACAGCTCCCAGGACACGGCGCAGAGTATCATCTGCAGCTGTTGAGGAGGAACTAAAGGTCCTTGACTTTAAGATCAAACTATCATTATTTTGTCCTCCTTGACTCTTTTTCTTCTTTCTGCATTTTCTCCCTTCTCTGATTAAATTTATTCTTTGGAACTCGGGAAGGCCTACGAGGCTAAAGGTTTTCCACAGACAAGAGGCAGGCAGAGGACATGTTGGCGGGGGGGGGGGGGGGGGGGGGGGGGGGGGGGGGGGGGGGGGGGGGGGGGGGGGGGGGGGGTGCGGTTTCTTGTTCCCGGAAGGCTTCATAGGGTCCTGCTCAGTTACACGACGGCAGAGCCTGTGCACCTAACTAAGGGGTCGACGAGGCCTGCTCCCAACCAGAGACACCGTGCTCGTGCCTGCCCTCGTGTGACAGGGTTTGATGCTTCCTGCCGGTCTAGCCAGGTGGGTGTCAGTGCCACTCGCCCCAGGACTGATACAGCAGCTCTCCCTCCAGGCCTGCCGCTGCTCGTCGCAGCCACGCCTTCCTCCCACCTTGTTCCCATCTTCCCTTCTCCCTTTAAGGAAGATAATTTCTCGGGTGCGTGACAGTGGACTAGGAGCTCTGAGCTTATTGAGGCTCCAGCAGTCACTTCTCCACGCACGTCTTCCTGTAAGGGTCCAGCGATTCAGTAACTTATCTTGAGTAGCTAATTACACATAGGAGTAGCAGGATGACGGATGTTTTTGTGGACTCACGCGAAGGTGAAAATTGGTAGAGCCAGTTGGGTCCTAATTTGTCAATACCTAGAAAGGTGGAAGTTGCAACCTAGCAGTTACCCACCTAAAGGTTTACCTTGGAAAAATTACCCCCAGCTACACAAAGACGGGTATTAGAACGGCCGAGGTAGTATTTCTTGTAAAAAAGAAAATTTTGGAGTTGACCCAGATGTTCAGCAGCAGCTGGATGGTGCAGAAGCCACGTAGCTCCGCCACCGTGACGATGAACGGGTTCAGGGCATCAGACCTTTCTTTCAGCAGTGTTAAGCAGAAAAGCAAGTTGCAAGGGAATGTTCAGTACGATAACGTTTACGTGGAATTGAAAAACCTAAAACAATAACGTACATAGTTTAGGGATACATAACGCGTAGTAAAAGTATAGAGAGAGAGTGTGAGAGTAACGAGCCCTCCGTTCCAGAGAGCGGCTGCCTTCGGGAAGGTGAAGGGGGTACACATGGTGGGGGCGGGGTTGCAGGTGGCTGTTCAGGCCCAGGGGGTGTGATGCTCTGATGAAAGGAGCTGAGAGGAAGCCAGTGCGGCTGGGAGAGTGAGGAGGTGGGGTAGGATGTGAGGCAGGCGAGGGAGGGAGAAGGGTCTGGAAGACCCGCTTTCAGGCCCTGCAGAATGTGGAGCCTGGGAAGGAGAGCCGGGGTAGTGTGGAGTGGGGTGGCGTGGGAGGAAGGACGGGGGGACAGATGCCAGGTCTCAGCATGAGCAAGGTGCTGGGCTGAGCGTTGAAGGGAAGGATGGGAGACTTTCCTGTGACAGACATGGTGCATCACTGCGGGTGGGCGGCGCTACTGTAAATGCAGGGACTGAGGGCGGGAAGACTCAGTGCCAATGCTGCCCAGCTGTGCACGGAAATTGGCGCCTTAACGTCTAAATTGGTTTCTGTGGTCCTAATGGTGGAGACCTTGGTACACGGATTGGCTGCAGCTGATAGGTATCGGCCCCCACCGCGCAGGTGCCGTTCTAAGCAGACTGACATGTCTGGTTCGTTTGGAGCTTATGTTTTGTTATGTTGGTGCGAGGGAGGTGGAAACAGAATAAATAAGTGAACAAGAAAACATCAGACCCTGCTCTGCAGACAGCAGAGCAGGCTGGTGTGGTGGCCCAGGCCTGGGTTTCCAGGGGTGGCTGAAGGTGTTGGCGTGAAGTTGGGTGGGCTTGTCTGAGAGGAAGGCCTTGGGGGGCCGGGTGAGGGTTTGGAAGGAGATGAAGCACATGCCGTGCACAGGAAGGTCAGGCCCTGAACATTTGTGCATGTGTCAGGTTCTGTCTGTTTGAAATGGGAGAAACAAGTTGTAATTCACGGATGTGACTGGACCCCGGTCAGGTCAGAGGGGCTGGGGAAAGCTGACCCAGGCATCTGGCCACATGATAGGGTTTAAGGAAGCGTCTCACGTGTGGTGGCTTGTCTGTCTACAGGAGGACCTCGAAGCCCTCATAGCCCACTTCCAGGCTCTCGATGCCAGAAAGACTCGAATCGTGGAGACACCCTGCTCCCCACCTTCTCCAAGGTAAGCAGCACGGACTCTCCAGTGTAGCTGCTGACCTGAAGTTCTCTGGTATAGACTGGAAAAGTGCTTGAAGTAGGCACCGTGTTTTCGTAAGTAACTGGGCACTCGGGATATTTTCATCATGAAAACCCGCCAGATCAGCTCCCACAAAACAATTGTTTCACTTCCGCTTAGGAAGAGTGGGAGTGGGCAGCTCAGCTTCATGCTCTTGTCGAAGCACGGCGGTGAGGTCTCCCGGCGCAGCTGCTCTGCCGGCCAGGGAGGCTGTGGGCTCGGCCGCCCGCCACCTGGTGACGGCCTGTGGGCGTCCGTGAGCTTCTCCTTCTCAGGTTTCTAAAGGCCCGTCACGTGCGAGACTTAAAAGCATGATAGCTTTTTGCTGTGTTCGTTCATAATGCTTTCAAATTCTCATGTGAAAAGTGTGACCGTTAATCGTAAACTGTCTGTTAGCCATTTTAGGTGGGTTTGTAGTTTATGTGAGGAGCTCCAGCATCTTTTGTAGGATTTGAGACCCTGTGGAAGGAGCAGGCTCTGGGGTTTCTTTTGTTTTTTAAAAAACAATTAATTAATTAATTAATTTTTGGCTGCATCAGGTCTTCGTTGCTATGTGGGGGCTTTCTCTAGTTGCAGAGAGCGGAGGCTACTCTTCTGCGGTGTGCAGTCCTCTCATTGCGGTGGCTTCTCTTGTTGCAGAGCACGGGCTCTAGGCGCATGGGCTTCAGTAGTTGTGGCTCGCGGGCTCAGTAGTTGCGGCTCGCGGGCTCTAGAGTGCAGGCTCAGTAGTTGTGGCGCATGGGTTTAGTTGCTCCATAGCATGTGGGATCTTCCCGGACCAGGTCTCGAACCCGTGTCCCCTGCGTTGGCAGGTGGATTCTTAACGACTGGACTACCAGGGAAGCCCCAGGCTGTGGTTTTCCCTGGCTTCTTGCTCCTTTCTTCTCGTCCCCTTGGCTCCGGAATGCCAGTTCTCTAATTTGATCCAGGGATTCAGGCTCAATAGTTCTTACACTTGCTCCTGGCAGAGCAGAGGCTAGACACGGGGTGCATCAAGCTAGGAGCCCAGGGAGGCTGAGTGACCCTGATAAGGAGATGCCGTGTCCTTTGGAGAAGGGGAAATGCCTTAATTGCACGAGCATCCGGGGCTGTCTTGATCAGTTGAGAAATGATTTGCTTTGTTTCCCTCAGACCTGAGTGGAGGCCTTGGTCTAGCACGTCAGGAAGGGAGGTGGTAAGAGTGCCCCCTCTGCTTCAGTGGGTGCAGGGCATGGCCCCGAATCCCACGACTTTGCCCCCGGCGTGCGATCATTACCTGTTCAGGGTTGGGAGCAGTGTGCTTACCCCTGAGCAGACACAAGCGGCCTTGCAGCCGCTCCCAAAGTTGCAGATCCTTCTTATTCTTTGGCTGTTAAATTCCGTTAGGAATCTGTTGTTATTTTCCTTGTATTTATCATGTTATCGTTGAGGCCAAGCGTAAGAGTCACACCTGGTAGGTGGACGTTTTCATCTGAATTGTTGAAGCAGATAAATCCTTGAGACCTTTGAGGCTTTATCTGTACAGCACCCCTGAGCGAATTCACTTTGAAGGTGGGTTGACTTATTTTGGATGACATTTTTCCTGAAGTATGCTACCCAAAAAGGCCAGGTGTAATGTCACAATATGATGTGAGACATTGGCAGTTCCATGGGTCAGCTGGGAAGCTTCCTGGCAAAAGGGAGCAGTTGGAGCTGAGATCTACTGGGATGCAGACGTTTTGGTGGTAACCTTAGTACCTTGTCACCTCCACCTCTCTATCGCATCATGGGGAAAAACCCATGAAAATTACCAAGTTTAAGTGTGTACGTCCCCACGTCTTGGCTCAGAGCTAGTTTAATGGGGACATGAGGATGAGGTGCTTGGTTGTACCAGAGCCCAGGGTGCACTATCTTGACTTGAGGATTTGACTACAGAGTTTCTCAGCCTATAGAACGTCTCTGTCTATATTAAATCCCCAGGAGGAAAACAGTTTCCAGATTTCCCAGACTTCCTTGACCTTGAAACCCTTTGCCCTTTGAGAAGCGTCCTGTGGGATTAACGTGGTGGAGGGCACCTTGGGGAATGCTGCTCTAAGGGTTTATTCAAGAAGGGTATTTTCCCTCTCGGTCACCGTACCCTTCGTTACTTCCTGCTGCGATGGTCAGGACCTACTTGTAATTCCCTTATGGCTATTCCCTTGTCCTCGTGTGTGAAGTAAGTAGAAAAGTATTTGCATTTTCTAGATGGAAGGGATCTGGGTTGTATATTGAAATGCTTCAATACTGGATCTCTTAGAACAGTTTAGATTGTGATTTAAGAGGACAGACCTTTAAAACAGGACAGTTCTGGAACATTGGCACATAAATAGGAGCCCCTGGGCTTCCCACTGCTGATGATTTTCAGCCAAACGCTGTGTGAGTAGCCCCTGCCCTCGTAGGAGACTGAGCCTGGGTGTTAGTGTCTTGATGGTGAGGCTGCTTTTAAGGGCGGTGCTTCAGCTTCTGTCCTCAGTGCCAGGCTCCTCTTTCACATAAGTTTAGGACAGGCATGTCCCTGGTGGTGAAGCACTCTGATGGAAAGGAGAACGGCTCTCAGTTTGGGCGTCACATGGTTTGATTTTGTGTTGAGCTGCTTTGCTGCTTGTGTCTCTTGCAGGTTAAATGCCTCACTCTCTGCTCATCCTGAGAAAGAAGAATTAATCCTTTTCGGAGGTGAATATTTCAATGGCCAAAAAGTTACGTATATATTTTCTTCTTTCCCTCCAAGTTTTCATGGGTCTCATTTAGAGGAAACTTCATTTTAAGCTGATATCAGATGTTCATGGTCCTTTAACTCCCCTCTTGTGTGTCTACATGTCAGGACTGGCCTGGGCCATGGTCCTTGACAAGCCACCAGGTTCCTTAGGGACCTTTAGGGTCACGCCTCTTACTGCCTGCGTGAGGTGGGCCAGTACCCTGCTGTTCTTCCTCATGATGGGTTTCCGAAGGCGTTTGAATAGGGAAAGTGCTGACAAATTGCAGAGCAATTGATAAATTGTAAAACCTGTAATTTTTATTTTTGAGCAGACCAGAAAGCCCTGGCTTTCAGAGCTATAGATGAAACAGTTCCAAAATCCTGAGTTCGCCTTCCCTGCATGGCGGTCCAGAGATGGTCTTTGTCATTGTGTCATCACCCTGAAGGGTCCGGGGACCAGCCTTAGAAAACACGTTTCCCGGGGAGAGCTAGTGACTGAGATCCTACCTTCCACTTGCTGCCGCTTGTGTGGAAGCACCATTGGTGACGCTAAAGTGCCTCTTCCTTTCTGCAGACCTCTTTATATAATGAACTGTACACCTACAGCATCAGGAAGGACGCCTGGACTAAAGTCGAAATCCCCAACCCACCTCCGAGGCGTTGTGCTCACCAGGTACGTGTCTGTATGGCCATCAGCCTCCCCTGCTCTCTCGCTGGGGCTCTGACTCAGGATTCCACGAAAGACCTTTAGAGCTGGTAATGGCGGGCAGCCTGGTATGGAGACGCTGGGCCTTGCCCCTGGCCCTCACTCTGCCACCTCCAGCTTGGCCTTGTTTCTGAGCTCCTTCACCCTCAGCCTTCACCTGTGAGGCTGGAGGTGAACTCCTGCTCTTGCAGGTGGTGTGAAGCCAGGTAAAAATACCGGCGTGGCGCCTGGCGTGGAGCTGTCAGGAAAATGCTCCTGTATTTGAGTGAGAGAGGCTCCCACAGGCCCAAGATCTGGTGACCAGAGAGATGAAAACAAAAAGACAGAAAGAAAAGTGTCAGTGGTTACAGAAAGTAGCTATTGCAGAGTGAAGTGAGTCGTGCCCAGGGACGCTGAGGGAGCAGCGCCAGGTCGGCATGCTTTCAGCTCGCTTCCGCTCACCCCAGCGAGCTCCGTCAGAGCCGATGACTTACCAGGGAAGGGGTCCTGGTTTCATGGTTCCACATTGGTACGCTCCACGAGGACAGGCATTGGTCTTTCTTGTTCATTGTACCCGGGACAGTGTTGGGGCTCAAAAGTTAATCTGAAAGGGTGATACCTCTCCAGTGTCAGCCTACTGCGGCACGACTGAAACATCCCTCCACAGTGTGTGGTTCTCTTTTTTCTAATCCTGTGCTCAGAATAGCCTCCCGATTGAAATGGGGTCTTTGAGGGGGAGCTGACTGCCTGAGCTGCATAGACGTCTCGTGCATAGCCGGGATTGCAGGCATTTGGACTGGTTCATCTTCTGGAAGAGAGGCATGCACTGCTTTCTGATTTAAAAACTAGACCTTAGTAAGGCTGGGTTTTAAATAATCAGTGGATCTTGATAAGTTCTAGTCCATTCACTGGAGCCCTCTCCAGTTCTGAGAATGCATCCACCCCAGGCCTGCAGGCCAAGCACTTAGTCCTGTCCTGTCCCATCCCGGCCCATCCGGTGGGGAGCGCTCCCTGCTCAACGCCTCTCCAGTTCCTGGGCCCCAGGAACGCAGGCTGAGGTGCTTCTTTGATGTTCGTTTTCTTATCCGTTTTAATCGGTTATTAACTCTGTTCTTGAAGAATTAGTGTCATTGAGATTTTTGAGAAAAACGTCTTTGAGATTTTTAAGTAAGTTACTTCGGCAGGCTCCGATTTGTATGTACATCTTGTGAGTACTTTATGAGTCTGAGGCTTAATGTTATCCCTGTAGATAAGGTTGGCTTGCTGTTTACTCTGAGAATTTCACAACAAATCAGGGCTGTGGGAAACAGATAATTGCTTATAAAGTCTTTTGTCTAAAGGTCATTACAGTTCAAATTCCACTACGTTAAATTCTGAGACATAAAAATTTCCTCATGGGACTTCCCTGGTGGTCCAGTGGTTAAGACTCCGTACTCCCAACACAGGGGGCCCGGGTTTGATCCCTGGTTAGGGAACTAGATCCCATGTGCTGCAACTGAGACCTGGTGCAGCCAAATAAATAGATAAATAAATATTAAAGTTTTTTCCTCATTATGGACTAGGTTATGAATGTGATGATAGAAGCCATGTTCTTTATCTTGAATCAGTTAGGGGCAAAATGAGTAGAAAGAGAAAGCTTATACGTGGACCCTTTGTTCTGTCTTTTCTCTCTAGATTTTTGGGGGGTTATTTTATTTTGTTCATTCAGTCATTCGTTCATTTAGCTGTGCTGTGTGGCTTGTGGGATTTTAGTTCCCCAACCAGGGATCGAACCCGTGTTCCCTGCATTGGGAGCGTGGAGTCTTAACCTGGGACTTCCCTGGCGGTCCAGTGGTTAAGTTACTTTAGCGTGTAATTTGAGAGTTCAGTGGCCTTTTCTGAAATGAATACAGCCAGTGAGAGAAGGGAAAGTGTCACGAAGCCCACTGAAGGTGTGCCTGACGACCATCTGTCAGGCCTCACCTGTCAGGCCTTGGCAGGTGCTCCCCTCCCGGCACCCGCCCTTGGGGAGAATGTCAGGCGGTCCTGCCTGGACGGGCTGACGGGACTGTTGAGGATTGAGGGGTGGGGGAGTGGGAGGTGCGGGCGCAGACGGAGTTCACATTTTGTTACTTGCCTGATGGTTTGTTTCTCCCCAAGCAGTGACTGACTAAACTCACTTGAAACAAAATGCATTCTCTCATACAGTAGAACAAAAGGTTCCATATGGTTAAAAAAATGTCCCCTCTGTTCTCATCGGCCTTGGTGCAAGCATGAGCGGTGGGCAGTTTATGTAGAAGGGTTAATGTTTACAGAATGCCTGTTCTTGCGTGAGCAGAAGTGCACTGACAGTGCCCACATGAGCTGCGGAGAGTGTTTTCCTCCAGCTCAGTCGCAGCTTCATTGCCGTCCATCCGAGAAGGTGTTGCAGACTTGTTCCTTGGGAAATTCTGAGCATCTTTAACATGCAAGGCACTCTTGTAGAGCTGGGATACAGCAACAAAAAAGACACATTTGCCATTCTTGGTGATGTCCCATATTTTGTGTTTTCTTTGGTCCTGATGGCCTGACACGTTTTTAGGACTTGGCTTTCACAAAGCTGACGTATGTGGCTGATGTCAGAATCCATTCACAGAGTCTGTTGTTTGGACTCCATTGTGCCTTTTTTTTTTGACCCTTGGAGGGAGAGTTGTGAACTTAAGGTTTTCTAGACATGATTTTATTCCAGTTAAGACAACAATACAGAAACCCAAACACCTGGGAGGCATGCAGCCTCGTGGGACAAGTAGCAAAGTAGATGCTGGCTAGGACAGCCCTGCCTTGTATGGGGAGCAGTGCCGTCCTACTTTGGTCTCTGGGCAGTGCTTTGCCTCTGTTAGATCCAGGGAATGTTGGTTGTTTACATGTTTGTTTATTATGTTCATGTTTTCTTCTAAGTCTTTGGACATATTTATAACTTTTCAAGTCCTTGTCTGCTGATTCTCTCATCTGTGTCATTTCTGGGTCTCTTTGTATTGACTGACCTTGTTGATATGGGTCACATTTTTCTGCTGGAACCGTGTGGTTAGATGATAGACTTTGTGGATGCAAAAGCAGATCTTAGGGAAGCCTGGGCAAGCCCCAAAGCTGAGATACATCCCTGAGCACTAGGGCAGTTTTTGTCTTTTTAGATTCTCACATGTCTTCGTATTCACAGCATTCCACTGGGGTCTTCTTCATACTCCTTCTCTGTCAGCTTGTCATTGTTGTGATGCCTTCTGCAGTTTCAGCCTGGCCCACAAGGAGACAGCATCCTCTGTCTGTGTCACGCTAGTAAAGTGGGTGGTGTTTGGGACGCCCAGACCCCTCCTGCCATGAGCATGACGCCATTCAGCAAAGGGCCGCTGGAGGGTTGACTGTCTGCATTTGTTTTCATTCATCGACAGATGATGAGTTTCGTTCTGGTAGGTGGCTCAGCCTCGTGCAGATCACCATGCGCCTTTGGAGGCTCTCTCGAAGAATGGTAGCTCTATGGCGTGGCCTTTCTGGGGTCTCTCGTGAACGCCCTGGGTATTCAGTGGCACCTATCACTCTGGTTGGAACTTGTCTGTCTCCGAGCCCCCTGTGAGCTCAGGTCGTTTTCAAGTTTTCAGCCTCACAGTGATGGTGCCCACCGTGTGCCCGGCCTCCGGTGGTCTCAGTCTGCACACGTGTGGCTTAGTGTTTATGGGCTCCAGGGGAACCACCCAGACTTCAGGGTGCTCTGCCCTGCAAATTCCAGCTGCCTCAGCATCCTGGAACTCTGGCTTCTGTTTCCTCAGCTCACCAGGACCACGGGGGTGTGAAACTGCCTGCGGGGTCAGAGGGCTGACCTTGCTCGTTTACCGTGTCTCAGGGTCACGGTCCTGCACGTCATGCTGTCTGGCTGTCGTGCTTCATAGGTTTTGTCCAGTTTCCTCCTTGTTTACAGTGGGAGGGCTGGCATGGTGCTGATTGCTGAGCCTGGTCAGAAGTGGAAGTTTTCTGCCTGTCTCTATAGTTCGCATCTTCTCTTGAGTAGTATGTTAGCTCTTTCTTGCTGTTTATGGTCTTTGAGGAGGAGGTTAGTACAGAGCCCTCAGATCACTGGCCATCAATCCACCTTCGTGTCGTCCCCAGAGTTTTGCCTGTGATGGGACGTGGGAGACACACTCTGGTCACAGTCTTTTTTCTCGCCTGGGGTTTGACTTCATTTTTTAAGAATGGCTCTGAAAACTGATTATGTAAGTAATAAATATTCATTGTGAAAAAAAAAAAGAAGATAATGAAAGCAGAGTAAGTCCATTGTCCATTCTTCCAGAACTCCTAATTTATATTTTCTGCATCTTTTCTCTGCATCTGTGATTCATATTTCTATGCATTTCATATTAGTTGGACTATACACATACGTGTGTATACATGTGTGTGCACGTATATGCACGTGTATGTGTATGTATATATGCATATATTCTCCCTGTACTGTTCTTCCCAGTTAACGCATTATTTGTGGTGTTATCCTGGGACATTCAGCAGCTTCTATGATACGATATTTCAAAGCTACCTTGTATTGCGTAGCGTGAAAGTACTACCTGAACTTCATTAAGCTCAAAAAAACGTGTTAGGTTTAGGCCTGAGCTAATCCTCATGTCTGGTTTAAAGATTTGAAGTGATCAGTTTCTTTCTTTATAATTACTGGGGTTTTAGAGTCCTAGGAAGCTGGCTTGTCTCTTGATAGGTCAGTCCTGAGAAGATGCACAAGACTGAGTGAAAATGGTGTGTGTGGGGGCACATCATCCTAAATGTGGCACCAGGACCCTCCAGTTAGTCCAGGACAGGAGCAGCATCGGTGATGGAGCCGCAGTTCTGCAGCGTTAAGCTTAATTAAGCGAAGGACCACACTTGCAGTGCAAGCCCCAGGGTGCTCAGAGGGTGCCCGGGGCGGGCCTTCTGGGAACCACCATCTGACCGCCCAGTGTGTGCTTGTCCGTGGTGGTTTGCAAGGGCAGGAGGCATTCACACGGGCTGCTTTGGAGCACCTGGCATCCAGCTGCTCCCGACCCAGTTCCCCTGCCCTGGCCCCACTGTCCCTGCTGCCGTTGGCACTGCATGTGAGCCCCTGGCCAGACGGCCCTTTGATGGGTTCCCGTCCCGCACCCCCTTGCTGTGAAGGACGGGCCCAGTTGCCTCCTTCGCTGTCTGGGCCCAGGGCTGGTGACTGTCAGGGCGGGCTGGCCCACCAATGGCTTGTGTGGCTCTGTCAGCCCGGGCGGTCCCGCCTGGTTCCCACGTGGCCTGTGAGTCCTGGGCCTTCAGCAGAACCACAGAGGGGCAGAGGCTGCGAGAAGGACCTGACGGGGCAGGCATTTGAAGATGAGGTCAGGGCTTGGCACTGGGTGTTCTGGGGGAGGGGCTCCGGTTTTACCCGAGAGCTGTATGGCTGTGCCCTGACCTGTCGCCATTCTCTCAACAGGCTGTGGTGGTGCCCCAGGGCGGCGGACAGCTGTGGATCTTTGGCGGGGAGTTTGCCTCTCCCGATGGAGAGCAGTTCTACCACTACAGGGACCTCTGGGTCCTGCATTTGGCCACCAAGACGTGGGAGCAAGTCAGGTAAGGTGAGGAGCGTGACCCTGGGCCCGCCCCTGCCCCGTGCCGGCGTCTGGGGTTCACGGTGATGGATCGGCTCTTGTAGGATGATTCCAGGGCTCCGAGGGGCGCGGTTGCCCCGCCTGGGAGACCAGTCTGGCTGGTGACCAAAGTGAGGGAGGAGCTTCCCCTTCGGGGAGCGGCCCGGCCCGGTGCCGGCTGCCTGACATCTGGCTTCGTGGAGGGCGTTGCCAGGGTCTCTGGGACCAGCGCCACATCCGGGCTCGTTTTCCTGGTCCTCCCTCCCCTCGTCAGCGTCAACAGTGATCGTGTTTTCCTGCAGTTCTCCTGTCCATTTATCGCCCCAGAGGCAGCTCTGGGTTTCAGCTTGCTGCCCGTGGAGTGCCGTGTCACTGAGAGGAAGTATCCGGCTAGGTCTGCTTGACATAGGAATAGTGGAGCATCTAATAGGAAGGACAGGGAAGCCTTTGTGTCACTGTTCAATAAAGCGGGCTCGGCCATCGTTGGTGCTCGATTCCTGCTTCTGTTGGTGACATTGACGTGTGGTTGTCCCGTTCACCCCTGCAGTCTCTGTGGCCAGAGCCACACGCCTGACTCTGTAGAGAGATGGATGGTGTGTCTGCGTATAAATTATGTAGAAGAAGAAGCCTAGTAGCATGACAGACTGAAAGTGGAGTCAGTGGCTTTGCCCTCGTGGGGCACATGTGCGGCTCTGGGGCACCAGCTCTGTATTGTTAAAGCGGCTGCCAGGCTCCCCGCCTCAGTGGAGTGGAATTCGGGGGGGGTGCAGGGCTGCTGTCAGGTCTCGGGACTTGAATCCGAGAGAGGTCCCTGGAGGGTGTACTCTGTGGTCCCCTGAGGGGCCTTTTAGGAGCCCATGAACACCTGGCTGTCGGCCTGCTCAGATCGGCTTCCAGCCTGGAGTGTTAGACTAACCGTGTACAGAGTTGACCGTGAGAGTGATCGGAAGGTGCTCAGAGATTCCCAAGCTCGCTAAGCTGCCGGGGAAGCTCTGGAGAGCAGTCCTAGTAAAGTTGGACCCAGGGTGAGCCTTGGTGTGCTCTCCCGAGCGCCGCCTGCATCTTCTTGTCTTACTTGCTTTAGGAAAGGCATGGCGACTAAGAACTTTTCATATAAAAAATTGATTTCATTGTGTATATGTTGAGACCTAGTCATTTTCATTTTCCCTGTAATTTAAAGAGCGTTCAGGCCCAGAGCATGTACCCTTTTTTGTCTTTCTTGCTTTGCTTCAGTTATTCTTTTCAAAATCCAGTTGTTACTTCTTTGTTCACTTCTGGTGAATTGGTTCTTGATGTTTTCGTTGCATTTTTGTCAGCTTTGGTAGCTTTTGCCTGTAGCGTATGGGTGAGGGACGGTGAACGGCCCCGTGGGGCCTGTAGCACCCGTGGGGCCTGGTGTTGATGGTGGCGGCATGTTGTGGGCTGTCCCGTAGTGCCCTGCCAGACTGTGCTGTGGCGCGTGCTGTCTCGTGGCCTCCAGACCTTTCCGATTCTGTGACAGGTATTGCAGGTATTCGGTCCAGGGAAGCAGGGAGGCACTAGTGACATGCAGTCACTGCCCTTTGCAGAGCTCTCCGTGCCTGCTGTCCCTAGCCCCGCCTCACTGCGCACCTTGAGCTGTGTCCCGGCGTTATCGGCCTGGTTGCGCCTGCTCAGCATGCGAGGCCTCTGTCCTAAGTCAGAAGTTGTTCCTGATGAGCAGGTCTCTCATTACTTTTTTGCTGATTGTAATTAAAGTGGGAGAATTCCTAAAGGTATACTGGGGAACCTACGAAATGCTAATGTGAAGGTGCAGAGACAGAACTGAGCTGCCTTTCTCGTCACCCCTGTTCTAGCCTGGATAGAGTGGTGTGGCAGGGAAAGGGTTAGGCGCTTTATTTTTTGTCTTTTTTGTCTACAGCATCTTTGTTTTGAGCCTACCTTCTGGGCCGTTGTCTCTGGTTCTCGGTGGGGAGATGGGCAGCCGGGCAGAGCTGTGCTGAGCTGTTCTCTTCAGTGGCCAGGGTGTGGCGGTGCATTTCCCCAGAGCCCGTGGTCCCTGCGGGGCTGAAAGTCGGGGGACGGAGGGCCAGTCCCTGGCTTCTCCTCTTACCCTGTTTGCCGGGAGATTTTAAACGACCAGCTCAATTTCTGTGTTTCTGCTGCTCAGCCCAGTTCACTTACTGCTGCTTCACATGCCTACGGTTCTCAGATGCATTGTGTTCGAGGCTGGCTCTGTTTTTAAGGCCCCTGGTGGGATGCAAGAAATCGGAAGCGGTGTGCGAGAGATACTGTGTGGTGACGACCTCCGTTCCCCTTTGTCATCGTGGGCGCTGGGCTCGGTGCCTGGGCGTGCGCACAGCTGCAGCCCTTCCCCCGCCCTGCCCCAGCGTGTTCTGTGAGACCAGTGAGGAAGGTGTGCCCTGTGTGGCCCGTTCCTTGCTGTTACAGTGTCTGCAGCCACTGTGTGTAGGGAGCAAGCACGTCTCAGGGAAGGTTCCCTGAGTGAGTCAGTCACACACCGGAAGCCACAAGAGGGTGACTGTCTGACCATGGGAAACGTTAAGGTTTTTGTATCAGGAATGATGCCACCAGGAAAGTGTGGGAGTGGTGACAGGTTTACAGCGTGAAGTGAGCTCATGTTCAGAATAGAGGCTTTGTGTAGAGTAATGAGCAGCAAGCGGCCGGACGTGAGAAGGCAGCCACGAGTGGCTCACACGGAAGGTCGGACTGTCAGGTGGTGAGGGCTGGGCAAGCAGGGGTCCCTCCCGCTGGCTGAAGTGTCGGCAGGCAGCACCCGTCGTTCCAGCATCCTGTTGCTTGTGCCTGCCCCTCGACCCCATGTTCACTTTTAGGAATATACCCTAAAGAAATGTTCCCTCTCATTTTGTACAGAAAAGCTTGTACAAAAACCTAAGATGCAGAGCAACACGTGACAGAGTGTGTGTGCATGCACGTGTGCCTGCAGACTGGGCCAGAGAGCCGGTGCAGGCACACATGCGTGCACACACGCGGTCCAGAAGGGTCTGGATGTTTCCGGGTTTTCTTCTGATTCCTTGATCTTCTCTTCCCACCTATCCTAGTATTGCTCCATTTTAATCGCTGTAGCTCTGTGGTTTATTTGGATAGCAGGAAGGTTTTTCTCATTTACTTAAAAAATTTGTCGTGCACTCATTTTTTTTTTAATTTTTAAATTTTTAAAATATTTGGTTGCATTGTGTCTTCGTTGCTGCGTGCGGGCTCTAGTTGTGGCAAGTGGGGGCTACTCTTTGTTGAGGTGCATGGGCTTCTGATTGCGGTGGCTTCTCTTGTTGTGGAGCACGGGCTCTAGGTGCACGGGCTTCAGTAGCTGTGGTGCGCAGCCTCAGTCGTTGTGGCTCGCGGGTTCAGTAGTTGTGGCTCACGGGCTGTAGAGCGCAGGCTCAGTAGTTGTGCACGGGCTTAGTTGCTCCACGGCATGTGGGATCTTCATGGACCAGGGCTGGAACCTGTGTCCCCTGCATTTGCAGGTGGGTTCTTAACCACTGTGCCACCAGGGAAGCCCCACTCATTTTTTTCATGAGAGCTTCAGAATGTTCAAGTTCTGTTTTATAAATGTTCCAGTGGGATTTCGATTGGATCGCAGTTTGTCGATTTCACCTAGGGAGAATTGGCATCTGTCTAATCCTTAGCCTTCCCAGTCGGGAACATTTCACTTCTCTCCTCTTAGGAGTCTCAGTTAGGTTTATTTTTTATCCTCCAGAAACATTTAGACCGGCCCAGAGGTAGAGTTTCAAAGTCAGAGGGCGTGTGTTCCTGGAGCCTTTCTCCCCAGGCACTGTGGGCACAGCTGTCTGCAGCGCACAGGTGTTTTGTCTGGGGCAGCTCTTACTTGTTCTCAGGGTCCACTCTCACTTCACAGTGTAGCACATACTACCGCGGGGTGGCTACCCTATCTGCACTTTGGAGGGGGTGTCTTAAAGAACTTACAAGGTTTCACAGCAAGAGTCAGTGGTGGAGTGGCTGGGAGACTTGTCAGCCTGGGGAGATGGCTCAGAGCTGAGAGGATATCTCTCTGGGTGATTCTTGGACTTCAGTGCACCGATTAGCACCTAGGGAGCTCTGAAAATGCATGTTCCTGTCCTCGTCCCCCCAAACATCAAGTCTGATTCAGAGCCGCTTTAAAATGGGGCTCAGGAATCTGCATTTGACAGTAACCCCTCCCCACCCCCCTTAGTGACCTTGATGCAGGCAGCCCTGGATCACAGCTGGAGGCCTCGCCTACTGGTGGATCTCATGCATATTTTGAGCACTGTTCACTAATGTGAAAACGTCGACTGCCTTTTCAGAAGTATGAGGACTCATGTAAAATGCCTCTTAGATCCTTAACAATGACAGTGTGGGTATTGCTTTTGTAATTTACTACTTATTCCAAAATGAAAGCGTCACCCCACTGTTGTTTGGCAGGGCTGTGCATGCTTAATTGACGAGGCCCGCGGAAGCAGGCAGACTAATTACTGAAGTTGGTCTATCGATCCTGGGGGCTGGGTTACAGCGTGTGGGGTTTTGCCTTGGAGCTGCTGCCACTCGGAACTGGGCTTGGTTATTAATAGGCTGACACAATGGCTGCTGTCTCCTCTGTAATTTTTTCTTACTGACCTAAAAGAAAAGGGAAGGCGCTTCAGCCAAAATGAAGGCTGATTTTGCTATTTCTGGGGAAGATCACTGAGTCTGGGGGAATCCACACGGTGTGAGCTCAAATCATGGGAAAAGTGCAGGAAGAGGTCACTGTGAACCGAATTTATTCAGTCTCCAGGACTTGGCCCGGCACTCTGCATTCTTTTTGCCATGCTGCACAGCTTGCGGGACCTTAGTTCCCTGGCCAGGTTTTGAACCTTCACCCTTGGCAGTGAGAGCACTGAGTCCTAAGCAGGGAATTCTGTACATTCATTTTTTAGGACACATTTTTCACTCCTGTGGGGGTAGTTTACGTTTGGGGAGACTGAGACCAAGAAAAGGTTATAT